TTTTTCCGGAATTTACGTTGACTTTCTTGGATTTTTCACATCTGAATTTTCTTGGAATTTACTTGGAATTTATTTCATGCTTGAATGATTGGTGAGGGCTCGCTCTTTTTAAACCGTCGGTAATATCTCAGGTGTATTGCAGGTTACGGGAATGGGTAGCGGGTCTCTCGTATGGGCGGAGTGCAAATACCGCCAGAGATGGATTAGCATACAATGGAATGAGGCGGAAAAAGGGAGAGAACATTTTTATATTTTTATTATCTGCCTCGGCTGATCAATGCGCCCGCGTCAACGCCTCACACCTAAAGCACCCTGAACAATTTTCTGAAGGGTAATTTGGTAATTTGGGGGGGGGGGAGGGGGGTGGTGAAAGACTTGGCTGACCATTGACCCGAGAGGAAAAGGAGGCAGCGCATTTTCCCCTGGCAATCTTCCACTTCAACGCTTCAGCACGAGAATACAAAAACCGCTTTGTACAGCTTTTCCCAGGGGGTCAAAGCCTCTCTTTCGAGTCACGGTTGCCGTTGACTCACACCCTTCGTCTGCTGTTCGGAGTGACTCCCACTACCGGCACGGAGCACCCCCCGCTAACCCGGCACGGAGCACCCCCGCTAACCGGGCACGGAGCACCCCCGCTAACCGGCACGGAGCACCCCGCTAGCCGGCACGGAGCAACCCGCTAGCCGGCGCGGAGCACGCGCTAACCGGCACGGAAGAGTACCTTCGTTTAATGGGAGTGAAGCATGCCAACTCCGAGAACGTGCAGGAAAGATCTTCGCTCATTTTTTGCTCTCGATCTCTCAACCCTTTCCGAGAGAGCGTTTACTTCTCCTGGACACGTCGAGGAGCGAATGACTCAGTTTTCCTGCCAGAAACTGTCGACGAGTCGTTATTTCCGCGTTTTTCACGCGGGCGGGAAACTTCACGGAGCGAATATTTCATTCTCGGTATTTTTTTTTTTTTATATTTTTTTTTTTACAGCACCGGAGATTCGAGTTTTCGCGATTCGTCGGCCCTCGAAGTCTCGAGGGGATTCCCGGGGGAAGTACCGGGACCGAAAGCGGTACCGGGACCGGAATGGGAATGGAAATGGCTCATTTGTCACGGGAGATGAATGGATATGGAAGCTCGGGATGGGAATCATCGCCGTTAGAAGGAAAAGGAATATGACTCAAACGCCACTTTCTATTCTGTTGCTCTTATCGGAGGCTCAGTTGAGCGAGTGCTCGGAGGCTCAGCTGAGCGAGTGCTTGGAGGCTCAGTTGAGAGTGAGATCGGAGGCTCAGTTGAGCGAGTGCTCGGAGGCTCAGTTGAGAGTGAGATTGGTGGTCCAGACTATTTGCTATTTGTTCTCGGAACTGGCGAGGAATTGGTGATCACCCGAGCGACCTATTGGCCCCATTGGCCCCATTGGCCCTATTGGCCCAGGCCGTCGAGGAATGGGATGGACGCCGGTGAAACGGGTCTCGCGACGTTTTCCGGTGAGTTTCGTCGCGCGACCGGCTGGCACGACCGGCTGGCACGACCGGCTGGCACGACCGGCTGGCACGACCGGCTGGCACGACCGGCTGGCCCGCTTCTAACTCCCGCGAATTTTGCAAACTCAAAGCGCAGCGGGCCCAAACTTCTCTCGGAATCGAAAAATTTGCGCAAATAAGCCACTGCCAATATAATTTTTTTCTTTGCATTTCAGAATTTCTGGCTGCATAAAAAATATATTTTGTAATTATTTCTAAGCGTATCAAAAATTTCAATGAAGATTTTTTTATTACTTCAGTTTATATTTAATTTTCAACTTGATTTACTATGCTTTTCCGTCGCCATAAAATACTCTCCATTTTTAACAAAAAACAAAAAAAAAGAAAAAAAAAACAACAAAAAACAAACAAAAAACAAAAAAAAAACAAGAAAAAAAATAAAAAACAAGAAAAAAACAAACCCAAACGAGGTCGCACGTTGGCGGCAAGGGAAATTTTAATGAATAAAACTCGCATAGCTTATTGCTTCTCCACAGCGTTTTCCAAGGCTAACATTTTTTTATTTTTAAATTTTGCTTGAAGTTTGTTTAACAAGGCTGGAATCTCATCGATGGAGAAAATAAATACTTTTTTCTCCCTCTCAAATTGACGTGCCATTTTAACATCCTTGTCTCCGCCATTTCCAGCCGAAAAAAAAAGTTGCATGCGAGAGGAACGTTGCGTGACGAATCGGAACCCGCTCGACAGGAGACGACACGGCCTGTCGACCCGGTCGACACGTGTCGACTTCGCAGGGCCAAATTCTCGCGTACAACCGCTGTACGCGGCGTACAGCCATTTGTACGCGGCGTACAGGTATTTTACCATCGAGAAGCGTGCCGCGGCGATCGCGAAAGTCCTTCGACGACGACGAGACACGACAGGCGGTGCGTGACACGTGACGCGTGACTAACTGGTTACAAGCACGAGTACGGACGTGTGAGATGGGGGCATTCATCAGTATGTATCTCGCATCCGCGAGCGCGTTCACAAGCCTCGCGTATCGGCCCCGATCTCCTCATGAAAATTGCAATGCCCTCGGAGAACGGAATCTCCCCGTTTCCATTCGGAAACGGGGATTCGGAAACGGGGATTAGAAAACGGGGATTCGGAAAGGGGAATTCAGAAAACGGGGATTCGGAAACGAGGGAGATTTCTCGCTCACCGACCTTGCAGCTGGCGTTCGCCGTTCGGAGGAGCGCGGAGCTCGGGCGTCCGCCTCGGGGAGGGTCGAGGCCTGGAATGGAGATGGAGGTCTGTGTGGGTCCTCCGTTGCTCGCTCGGGTCGGTCCGGGAATAAAATTAGCGGATGGACTCGTTTAGGTTGGGGTAAATGAGGTCGTGACGGATGAGTTCATACGCGTCATGACGCACGGGAACGTTATGACTCGTAACGGATGGGTACGTCATGACGAATCATGTGCTTCGATTCCACGATCTTCTCTTCGTTCCGTTCCCACTTTGTAGACGAGAGGATAAGCAAACGCCCGAAATCGAGAATAATTTGCGGGAATTATTTTCGTCAAATCAGATTATTTTTGGCTCATTTAATCAAAACCGACAGAGCAAGTTTGTACCGTCAGCCAGACAAATGAGCGACGAAAAAAAAGCATATTTGGCAGCTTAACAGGACAGAATGGATAAACTCTCGAAAGAGCAAAAATTCCGGGGAAAATAACAATAAAAAGCCATCACGAAACAGGACCAGCCAAGAGAATGATGCGATGATAAAAGGGTAAACAATCCGGCAACCCTGCACTCGGCAGGCAAGCATGGCGGCGCGCACGTGTCTGTCGGCCCATATGTTTTATGGCTGGGTCTCGCCCAGCCTCTGTTGAGTCCGGTGTTTTTTTCAGTCGAGCTCGGTGGTCACCGGCACTCCCGGTGCCTCCAGTCCACTTCTAGTCGCCGTACAATACGCTCGCACTCCAAATGAAAGCTGTCGAGCTCAACTGAAGAACGGGCTGGACACATGAGCCGTTGGTATATATAGTCATGAGATTAATCCTTTTACGTAGCGTTTTGCAGATTCGTTTTTAACCTTTCATATTTAACAATGCAATACTTCGCAATACATTGCAGTTCACTTACAGCTAGTTTATTGGTTACGTCCACCACTGTTTGGCAGTGGAGTCACAAGGGCAAATTACTCGCTCCCGTCATCCTCGAGAAAGATAAATGACGTCAATTTTCGCTTTAAAGGTATAGAAAGACTGGAATTATTGAACTTTATATCCTTAAGTAAAACTTGAGGTGACAATTTGGTCTTCTAAATTTGACATAGGCTATGAAATGACCCTTGAGTTTACTTGACATTAATCTAGTACAGGGATGTCTAATTTCATTTGGCGGGGATCTAATTATTTGGTTCAGGTATATTTGGGGGTCTCTCTTACAAATCTCACACCACATTTTTAATGCAAAATTTGCAGCAATTTTCTAAAATCACTCTTAAAGAGGAATTTGCGGGCCGGAGAAAATGAATTGTTAGGTTGGATCCAGCCTGCAGGCCACCAGTTGGACACCCCTGACCTAGGAGATGTCTGAGATCAGATTAAGAGTAACTGTTTCTATCCCATGATGCTCAAAGTCCAAACTTGCCTATTGCAGATGCCAAATTCAACTGGTCCTGAGATGCGACAGCCCCTCCAGGGCCAGTTGTTGAAGTTCACCAATGTTGTCAAGGGATGGCAATACCGCCACTTCATTCTTGATCCTGAAAGGGGAATATTGGAGTACTATGTTGATGCTGTAAGCCCAGTCTTATGAAAAGTTGATCCAGTTCATATTATCTGTTATGTCCTTACATTTCAATGATGAAACCCATCACTGGAAGCATATCAAAGTGTGGCATTTCCCATGAATTTATTAAGCTCTTTTACCTCCTAGCACGACTCTCAGAAGAAATCACGGCCAAGAGGGTTTGTTCACCTGGCCGGTGCTGTGATTTCTCCGAGTGATGAAGATTCGCAGACATTCACCGTGAATGCTGCATGTGGAGAGGTTTATAAATTGAAGGCTCTGGATGCAAAGGAGCGTCAGCACTGGGTCATGCGCATACGGGCCGTCTGTGAACGACACACTCAAGCGATAGCACAGGTGAAGGAACTTAAGAGAAACTTTGCTTTTGGCATGTCAGTTAAGTGATTGTTTTGCTTAACTGAGATTTTGCATTATATGACCTGGCAGAGTAATCCCCCACTTCCCCCAAGAGAGCACAGAAACCACAGCTCAGGTACCCCACCGGTTGACCCTCGGGTCAATTATCCATCTCTCACTGTGATGGATGCTTTCAGTTCAGCAAGACATATTCTGAATCATGCAAGTGGAAATCATCAGGCTTTGGCAGCTGCCATTGAGAAGCTGCCAACATCAGGTGAGATACATGACACCCATGTGAATAATTCTGACTAATTGTTTTATCCTTTTTAGTGGGTTGACATACATAAGTATCATTGTAGGTAATGGATTGACCTGCACAAATCCAGAACTGCTACTGCTGAAGGCAACCTCCCATGCAACTCTGAACACATTGGAGCAGTGCCTGAACATTTTACAGCTTCAGCAGCAAGCAATCCTGCTCGGTGCTTCATCGTCTCATATGCGCTCTCAGAAGCGAAGACCAAAGCAAACAATGCCTTCACAAGCCCCTTTGCCAGCACCACTGAGTGCTGAAGTAATGTGGACTGGGTTAGTCAACACATTTTAATTTCAAGTTACAAATTGAAAAATTATCATGGCTTTGAATTATATATATTCTTGCTACAGGCCCACAGTGACCACAATACATTCCACAACCCAACACCATGTCATATCACCTCAGACCCTGAACGAACTTGTGGAACCAGGTATTCAGCTTTGAGTTACTCCACACCATGCTAATTTACCTGTAATCCCATTGAATACTTTCTTATATGAATATTTGACAGTGGTGATTGATGCTGCTGATGAGGAAACAGACAGTGAAGATAATCCCGGTGAAATGCAAGAGAAGGAAACGACCACCACCGAGGAGTACAAGGCTCGCATCTTGACGCTCCTGTCTCCTCTGCAGCTAGGCATGGATCTTACCAAAGTGTCCCTTCCCACCTTCATCCTTGAGCCAAAGTCACTCTTGGAGACATTTGCTGATTTCATGGGGCATGGCCACCAGTTTTTCAGGTAAGAGGAATATAAGATGTGAGATTTTATAGCTGTAATTCTTCATAATACAGTGCAGTGACAAAATCTTGTGCCCATTTCATGAGGCCCAAAGGAATAAAAAATATTCAGTAGTTGCAAAATTTATTTACTTCACTATGTTCACATTGTGAAATTAAGGAAAATCCAAAATTTAAGATTTCACAAAACTAAAATGGCACAAATTTTTGTTGTTCCATGGTTGTTTTGCATGCAGTCATTGTTGTATAGGAGTAGATTCTCATGCTTCAACCCTTCAAGTGCTAAGTTTTGACTGGACCTCCTGAGTGATGATTGTACAATGTACATAAAACTGCATGAAGGGTTAAATATATTTTTCATTTTCTCTGATCTTCATGCTCCCATACTAGGTCCTTTTAATTTCAAGAGAGGAATTGAATTTTAATTCTTCAGTTTAACATGTTTTGATGGTGCCAGTGTGGAATGCAAGAAATAACCATTATTGAGCATGTTTCCACAATGTCATATGGGAAACAGTGTTAATGCAGTAACTTTTCCTGTATCTAGCTGCCATGGCTCTGTCCTGCACAATTTTTTTATAGCTGCTGCTTGACTTCATGGCTGGAAGTTCATGGTTTCCTTAATGGTGTTTGCCAGAAAAGCAAAATGCTCCAAAAGGCACCCCAAATCCATTTTGAGATGATGCTGTTGTGCCATTGTGCCTTTGCCAATTGCAGAAATGCTTGAAAAGTGGAATGAACCTGCAGAAACACTCCTTGAATATGTATTAGCATAAGTTTAGACATGTTGTCATTTTTTTAATTGGATAGAAATGCATCACTTTTTGCAATTTATGCAGAAGGAAAACCCACATCTTATTCAACTTAATTTTTGTCAACTTATTTATATTCTCATTCTTTTATTGTTTACTTGAGAGGGTGGAAGTGTAAATAAGCCTGTCTGCATGCTGCAGGATTGTTGACGAGGAAAGCCCTGAGCAGCGCATGCTGGCTGTGGTTGAGTGGTACCTATGTACCATTCACCTAGGACGCAGAGGATCCTCTGCAAAGAAACCATATAATCCCACCCTGGGAGAATCCTTCTATTGCTCTTGGAAGATCCCGAGGGGGGCTGCCCAGAAGCCTGATCAAAATCAGAGTGAATCAGCTTCATCCCCTGATTCCATTTTCATTCGTTATACTGGGGAGCAAGTGTCCCATCATCCTCCAGGTACTTTATCTCATTTCTATGTGTAAAATATATTGTTCATTTATATTGAACGAACTACTTTATAAGATATGGATTTATTATTAACAATGAAGTAAAATTCAAATGAGTAAATGATGAGTCATTGAAAAATTAGGTCAAATACCATTATTCATTTATTCATTCTGGTTTCATGCTGTGGTCCTTCAGATTGATGATGAGGCTATTTACAGACTCACTCTTGTGCTTGGACAGTTTCATAATCATGAGTGTTTTCTTCCTGGATTAGAGTATTTGGTTTTGATTAAAATATATGATGATTGTGAAACGTCTTTGCTTTGGATTGTGAATTTTTCTGACTTGATGTACCATGTGCTTACAGTGTCTGCCTTCTACGTGGAGTGTCCTGAGAAAGGCATCTGTTTCAATGCTCACATTTTGAGCAAGACTCGGTTTATGGGGATGTCCATAGGAGTAAATCTGGTTGGAGAAGGGAAGCTTTACCTCGTGCCTCACAACGAATGCTATACCTTGACTTTCCCGTCGGCTTATGGCCGAGCCATTCTGACTTCTCCGTGGTCTGAATTAGGCGGAAAGGTCACCATCTCGTGCTCCAATTCGGGCATTGCTGCCAGTATTACGTTTCACACCAAGGTTTCATTCTCTCTGTTTTTTATGAATGAATGCAATGTCTCGTGGCCCTATATTGATTTGAGTTTTATCTGAACGTTTTAGCCATACTTTGGAGACAAGCTCCATCGAGTGACTGGGGACATCAAGGATAGCTTGAGCCAAGTGATATGGAAGTTCCAGGGAGACTGGGTCTCAGGATATGATTTCACCCATTCTGCACAGGTTTGAATCTTGGGTTTTTGGCTTTGCTATGAGTATGATTTTAATAATCTTGATACTGCATATTATACCATGAAACATTTTCCAGGGGACTGGGCATAGACTGGATTTGAAGAATCAGAAGATCTTCCAAAAGCGAGTTCGTCCTGTTACAAAGCAGGAAGACATTGAGTCCAGAAAGCTGTGGCAGAATGTCTCAATGGCCATCCTTGAGGGAGATTACAATACTGCAACAGAACACAAAAAATTTGTGAGTATCTTCTTGAAGGGATCTCTCTAAATTTTCAAGCTTGAAGATATGGTTTTCTTCCACCCTTTGCAGTTGGAAGACAGGGAACGTGCAAAAGAGGCAGAGCGACTGGGAAGCGTTCAAGAGTTTTCACCTAGGTATTTCCAGCCACAAGGAGACAATGTATGGATCTACAAGGAGCCTCTATGTCCAAAGGGGAAGCTTAAACGCAGTGATAGCACATCAACATGCAGTAGTGGCAAAGACCAGGGGAACAAAGCCAAGCAGTTGGCACGTGACTTGAAGGACCGCATCAAGTCAGGCCTCTCATGAGGTGCATCTCGTCACCATCTCTTACTCTACCTGGTGATGGTTGATGATAATCCAAGAATGCATTGCTTTAATGAATCCAGAATTATTTGTATACTCTGCATTTTTATAGACAAGGTGGTATTCTGGAGATATATTAAATGAATAGAAATCTAGTCAAGACTTTCATTTATTCAATAAAAATGCCATTCAGTTTTATTGCAACCCTAGTAGCACATAACTTGAATCAATGTTATATGCTACTAGGGAACTTGCATTATGGAAAGTGATGTTCCAATTACTGTAGGGTCATTCCATCTCAAATCAGCCAGAGGCTGGAGCATGAATTGACGAAAAGTTTGTTGAGCTATGCAGCACCAAATGGCACCATATAATTGCAAAATTTGTGATTTTTGCCTATTTCGAGCCATCATATCTCCCTAAGTGGAATTTGTTGGGACAAAAATGGGACACACATCATTAGATCTTTTCCTGCTGATTCCAAAAACATACATGATAAGGTTTTATGAAGATGTTGATGTTTTGCAAATTTTACATTGCTTTACTTCATTCAGTATCGCCTCAAGGAAAAAAGTATATGAAATAACTTTGAAAGTCTAACCTTTTTTTAGAGAACAATATTGTTTGCTTTGTTCATTTAGGCCAAAAAGCTTTCATGAGCATGAAGAGGGGCCCCTTTTTCGAAATTTCACAAAATTTAACGAATTATTGTGCCAATACAGCTCCATACCCAAAGCCATTATTTTGCATTCTTACTTTGGGCCATGAGGGGTACCACATAAAAATTTTTCGTCAATATCGGAGGGGGTCATGCTCCAGCCTCCAGCTGATTGAGATGGAATGACCCTGTACGGCTTTTGGTAAGCTGTCATCAACTCTTCCTACCACCTCCCAGTCAAAGTTCAATCAGTGCTGCATGGAATACAAATCGGGGAGTGGAACCAGACATGAGCTGACACCATGTTAGTCAGACATCACACCCATTTCTAATTAATTCAATTCGGAGTCCATGACTTCCAAGTTGATGCAATAGGTGGAGAATGACATGGGAGAAATCTCAGCAGCTCACTAAAATCTTATGTCATTTGCACTCTGCCTCTACTCCTCCCTAAAACACCTCTTGGATTCCCCATAATGCTTGTGTACCTGGATGACATCTGAGGCATGAATGCACTTCCCTCCCCTCCTCACTGCTATAAGCAATTGTCACCTGTTTACTTGTAATTTTTAATGGCCATTTCCTTTTCCACAAAAGGACTGGAGGAAATGAGTGTTGCATCCATTGTTATATGAATAAAAACCTTGTTAACTTTATATTTTATTTTTTAAATATAAGCTAGCTTAAACTCTGTTCCAACAAGAATACCAATCAATAAAAGTGAATCACTTGAGACGTGGTGGTTTCCCTTGGAGTTTGGCTGCTGCCTTCTTCTTCATTATTTGCATTCGCTTCTCAGCAGTCAGCAAGGAGTTGGATGAGGACGGGAGACCGGGTTTAGGAGCCAATAATGTTTTGCTGCTCACACCTGAGTTTGAACATAATATTCAGTGATTCAAGAAAAATTTGATAAGGCAAAAAAAAACAAACTTGACACTCACTGGATATAGTCTTCACAGAAGAAAGATTAGCAAAAGGAGATGGCTTGCTCAACCCTCCTAACCCAGAACTCTTTGATGGCGAGGCAGATTTTGTGGCTTTCAGAAATGACGAAGACGATGACAATGCTGGTGTGAGCTTCGATGGGCCGGATGTACTGATCAACTGTAAGGGAAAAGATACATTTCAGCTTTGACCTAAGAGAGCATAAATTCACATCTTAACCTTGTACAGTACCCTATTTGCTGAAAATGATGGCTTTGATCCAGATGGTCTGGCATCCTGAGGCTTAGACTTCATGGAAGATGTCACCTGCAAGCAAACACAATTTGTTAGCAACTGCATAATAAAACATAGCAACACAACATAAGTTTGTAGACATGAGAAAACAAGACATAATTTATGCCTATAAAAGCAACACCAAGAAGGAATTGGGAAGCTTATGAAATTTGATTTTAAAGAACTCATCAGTGTCTCATGAAATATCTAAAAATTTCACAGGATTCAGTGTTAACAAGGCAAATGCAGATATGTACCCGACTGACCTTAATGTTCCGACCACAAGCAGCACAGTACCAGATCCCCCTGGGATCGTTCGCGTCTTCGTCGGAAACAGGAGGACGATGGCATTCCTGGTGATATAGTTGATGACATTCCTGGCATTCGATCAAACGGTTGTGTGTCGTCACCTCCAGGCTCCTACCATGAAATGTCCAAATTCAATAAGTACAAACCCTCAACTTCGGTCACATGGCACGACGTCCGGAACCCACTTGCAGACGACACACACGAGTCCCATGACCATCCCCATGGTCTCGATCTCGAGTCCGTCGCCCGATTCGGAATCTTCCGACTTCTTGCTGGGGCTGTCGGAGTCCCTGCTCGAGGCGCTCGGCGAGGGACTGTGCGACAGTCCCTGCTTGGGCGAGTCCAGGCGAGGACGCTTCGACAGGACGTCTTTGGACCCTTCGGTGAGGTCCTCCTTCAACTGCAATTTTAAAAAGGTGAGATTGACAAGATTCCATACAAATAAAATACTTCTTTGCGATAGAAAGCTGAAAAACAACCTTCTCAAAGGACCTCTTCTCGGATTCTTTCTTTCCCGAGTCATATTTCAGTCCATAAGTTGCTGCAGATGCAGAAGGAACACTTACTTTGCTGGAGCTGAAACTTCCCGACCTTATTCCTTCTTCCTGCATTTCCAAGAAACCAACTAATTATTCACCCAAGTCCAAATGGCAAACTTAAATCAGCAAAAAAAAAAAGCAAATGGCATCTCACTGGTCTGGATCTCCCAGCTTGTCTCTGTCGAACGGCTTCCTCGACCATCGCCCTCAGTTGAATCCCAGAATCTTTGGCCTGAGAAAAAAGTAGCCTGAGCGCCTTAACAAAAACTGGATCGAGATCCCCATTCGCCATTGCGAACCAGGTACGATCGTCCCACCCTCAACTAAGCACGTTATGCTGAAAGGGCAAAAGTAAAACAATTGTCAATTGAAAAACATTATAACCTAAGCTAGGCTATCTAGAATAAATTCAGATTGAATTCACGGCATATACCGTTAGTCTCACGACCTACTTTCCTTCCCCCGAAATAAAAATTCCATCGAAGGCTAGGCCTACATCTAATCTATCCAACTGCACGAACACAATCCGAAAAGGTCCCGCACTCCGTGCACCCAATCAGCCCGAATTCACTGCATGAAACAAGCACAGATGACTCCGAGCATTTCAATGAACAATGACGAGAAACGACCAGAAAGACGTGGGTCGCCCGCATTGGAACACGCATCCAAGAAGGGTGAGTGGGACGGGCCACGAGTCCACAGTGAGAAGCGTTTTCTCGAGGGGAAATCTAACGAACATGGGCGAGACAGGGGGAAACGTTAGTCCGGCTGGTCCCAGTGGAATAAATGTAACAGGACTTTGCAGTAGGTGTGCGAACTCATCGCGGAATCGCTGCACGGAATCATCTGTTTTTTGTGATTCCTGCTGCCAATGGGGCGAAAGCCGGCGAGGCCCTCCACGAATCGGAGAGGAGGCATGTGAAACGTCATTCACATGGACACAAGGGGGGTTAATACCTTGCAGGAGGTTTTTGCCTCGTCTCGCCTGTGTTCCAGGCCTGATTCTGTGCTTGTGTGCTTGAGTTCTCCAGTTAAACATCGCATTTAGGCGGAGGCGTGGGCTGGGAAGAGGCCTAGGCTAATCCTGTTGTCTTTTTCAGGGTCGAAAGAGGAACGTGTTCAAGCATAAGCAGTCATGAGTCTTCAGTGGACCTTGGTGGCAACATTCTTGTATGCAGAAGTTGCCGTCGCCCTTTTGTTGATGATACCTTGGATATCCGCATACAGGTTCGTTTAGCCTGTGTTATTTCTTCAGTCAGGCTTTGGCTTGGGCCTAAGCTTGCCTTGTAAATGGATATGAAACTTATAGGCAGCTCATGCAGTACTCGTTGATATTGCCATTATTTAATGGTGATTACTATCTATTCTTCAAAAGAATAAAGAATTAATGGTAACTGTCTTTAAGAAAAAGGAATCTGTTCAAAATGAACAACATATAATGGGGACATGAAGCCATTGTCAGTCTATGGCTTGTTGTGGATACTGCAACATTACCAGTGGGTCATTTCCTAGCTTAGACCTTTCCTGATTCTACAAAGGATAATTCCCCCCACTATGAGTAAAATGTTTTTGAATTGAATTGGTACTCCCTATAGGAGCACTTCCATTGATTCCAGGAGGTAAATGCTTCCTTATGGGTGGTTTTGTGGATCACCTGGTGAAGCATATCCAATGGAAGTAGTACATTCTCTGTTTCCCACTACTCAGGGGAGTACCAATTAAATCTGAAAACACTATAGGGTGAAAAGAATATTTGCTGCCACTTACTGCATCACAATGTAACCAGAGTGAACTGCAATAATCTATATTTTGTTGAAAAGTTTTCTACTGCTTGCCCTACAGGAATGAAGCAGCTACTTGATAATTAACTTTTTGTATCTGAGTGTTTTGCATATACCAGCACTGTCAATCCAAGTTTTTTCTATTTCTTGGCATTAGGCTAACCCAAGATAACTTGAGCATGGATGCCAAGGGGTTAAGAAATCATTTCTTCTTCCATACCAGCCTCAAGAGAATCAGACCTTCCACATCGATTCACTCACTCTCTGTACATATGCTGGATTTATGGTACAGCAGCAAAACTCTAACACTGAACATCCACGTGATTGATTTGACCTTGCGTGTATTCAATATTCAATAATATTGCTGTATTGCAGCCTTCAGCTGTTCCAAGTTTTTGCCATTGTAACCTATTTGGATCCCAGGACTAGTATGTGGTATAGTAGGTAGCAAGCTTGATTCACTTGGCAGGGGTTGATGACTTGGACAGGTTCAAAGTTAGACAGATTTCTAAGTCAAGTCCTGATGGAAACACATGGGCATTTCTGTAGATTTTGGAATCAATAAACCCAAGTGGTATTACCCAAACTGATGTAGCATATTCCTGAGGTAATGAGCTGGGATGAATTGAGTTTTTCTAGGGTTTGGCAATTCCATGGTTGTTCCTTTTTTGATAAGAGATTACTGGCAGTAAGGAATAAATGGGGTTCCAGTATTGGAATGAAATTGTGGGATTTCAGCCTTCTGCACCAGTCTGTGTATTGTGCAACTTAAGTCAACTAGACGTTCTACTCTGCATTCTGGATTGACTACAGTGTTGTGGGGTGCCTGCATGCAAAACCTGTCTTGTTCAGTTGAATCATTTGAAGCCCTATTATTCTAATGGGGTTTTAGAATTTTTAATTGGCTAATGATAACAAAACTCTCCCATGCATCCCTTGCGTGATACTGTTAAAAATTTATTTGCCCTCCAAAAACTCATCTTAATCTCCAATATGTCACATTCCATTAATCCCAAGGATCCATATCCAACTACTTGAAATGCAATGAGAAGCCTATTTGGAGCCATGAAGATGCATTTGTGTTGTTTCATCACACTTCAACCAAATGTGCTAGACACCATATTCAAATATATACAGGGTGGCCCGTAAATAGGTTTACTGTATGATTTTTGGCTACATGAATATCTTATTAAAGGTAGGTTTATTACTTACAGTACATTATATTCTTGTTTGTTTATTTGTACTTGTTGATGGTTGTATTTTTTTCTGCTGAATTTGCTCATAGACTTAACTAAGAGTAAAGAATTTAAACCATTGACTCATTAATCATGTAAACTTACTTATGGGACACTCAGTATATTAGCCAAGTTCTTGGTATGGCTAATGGATGAAATAATTTTATTTTATGGAAAACTGTGCCTTTCAGAGGAAAGCTAGTTAAAAGTTGGGGCATTGGCCTTTCATTGTCAGTTTCATGGAGGTAAATGTATTGAGTACAGCAAAAAAAGACCAGTGGCTTTTAACCTTCATATCTCTGCTCTTTGTTGAGCCTTTTAAAAAAAATAAAACTATGCTCTATGTAGATTGATATATTCCCAATAATCATTTTAAATTTCATTCAAAATGATGATGCTAAATTAAGGCAATGAGTAGTTAATTTAAAGAAACTGAAATTTGAAATGGACATGGCGCTCCAATCCCTTCTTAATGTCTTATCCTCCTTCCTTGTACTTCTATGTAAAGCAAAGGAAAACGTGTATATACTAGGAGCAAACTCTTTGTTTTGATAATTGGTTGATTCATTTGTTGTACTTTTGATGAGCTTTCACACAATCATTCTGTAAGAAGAGACTTAGTCTAAAACATGAAAGGAAGAGTAGTTGGATACACTTGGGATGCTAGCAGAGCACAAGTGCAGTCCTCTACTACCTACAGCAGCAGTTCTCAAACTTTTTATGCTGCACCCCCCCTAGTGACCCTTGCTCGGTGTCACACCCCCTCCTAGCAACCCTGGTTTGGCACCACAGTTCCTTTCTGAGAGCCGTACGAGTGCATGGATGCTACATTCATCGAGCATTCAAGTTACAGCCCACAAAATATGGACTAAAAGTCATAGGAATTTATTTTTTTCTATATCTAGTATTTAAATGTACTACAATCTTTTGTGCATATGTGGTGACCTAATGGGTTAATGCAGGGGTTCTTAAACTGGGGTGTGCAAGAGGTCATGGGAGTTATTTTATTATCTACTACAATCAGCAATTTATAAAACTATATAATATTTAATTCATCTAACATTTTTTTACTGTAAAAAGGTTACACTCCTTAGGTCTCTCTGGCACTTTCTCCAGGAGCACAAGTATAAAGGAAAGCAATTCAAGGGGACAGACTTTTAAATTAGATTCCTTTTTTCGAGGGGTGTTTTCCATCGGCAATTTACTATGATTTGAACGAAGATGACCAGTGTGTCCCTTTGGACTGTAACTTGAATGCTCATTGAATGTAGCATCCTTGCACTCGTTTCATTTTAATAAATACCTGAAGGAACTCAATGACAGAAGAGGTGGGTTCCCTGAGCGAAACAAAATTTCCGAAGACATTTCTCTGCCAAATGTTACAAGGTGTTACAACAACATTTATTCACTCATGGTGAAATGTTTAAAGTGGCTACAGCAAACTCCTTGGTTCATAGATCTTTTATCTTTGAATCAGATGACTCTTACATACTAAAGTCAGCTGACTGAATAGGAAAAGATGCAGCTTGCCATTTAGTCTTCCAAGAGTCTTATTTACCTGTGCTCAAAGAGATAGGGTTGAGGTGGGAAATTTAGGTTTGCTCTTAAAAGGAAGGACTACCAGAAACAACTTCTCCCTGACTCTATAAACCAGGCCATGACAGAGGCATTATCAGGCAAGCCTTCCTATCATAATGAAGATAGGTAGGTTCTCAATTGTAATTTTATGTCAAACACCCTTTGCATAAATCTTTCACAGAATCTTCAATTTCCTCAGTGACTTTGAAAATTTTGAATAATTCCTTTGAGAGTCCCGCCCCCCCTCATTTCATTGAGGCAAGAATACAAAGAACATGGGATCTTATCTGACCTCATGTTGTACTACTTCTAGCTGGAATTTTAATTTTACATTCATATATGGAGGTATGAAAATAGTGTGTTGGTATAGGTAGGCCTTTGTCTTGCTTGGGCAGTAGTATGTGTCTGCCTTTGAAGTGTTTCCAGATTTTATCTTTTTTTTTGGCTCCTTTTGCAGATGGAGAAAAATATTCAAGTCCAGAATTTTGCGCTGTCTTGAAGCCCAGGCACACATCTACTTCACTGTCTTTCTTGGAGTCCTGGCATTGCTTTTTTGTGGTATGAAGTGATTACCATCAGTTTAGGCATTTGCTTGAAAAATTTTTCCCAATATCATCTCTTGCCATAACCAGAATGTATGGTTTCTGTGATGCATTTTTAGATGCACTGAGAGAGATCTGGCATTACTCTCAACAGAAGGAAACCACCAAAGTTGGGACAGACTTGGATCATGAGATGCAGAACAGCATGAAACTCTTTCGAGCCCAGAGGAATCTCTACATCTCTGGCTTTGCCCTCTTCCTTTGGCTGTGTGTCATCATATTCTTCTATATGCTTCAGATTAGAGTAACTTATTACATCTTTAAATGCAATTGTTTGGTTGTCTCCCGCTTTCAGCATCATTCGTCGTCTGGTGACCCTCCTTACTGATCTGGCCAACGCGCGTGTCGGTGCCGATGCAGCCATGAAGCAGGCTGCATCTGCATCTGAAGCTGCCAAGAGGTTCATGGAGAGCCGGGACGTGAAGGATGACAATGCCAAAAATGTCGATCTGGAAGAATTGAAGGAAATGAAGGAAAAGCTGGCTGCTGCCGAGAAAGGTCTGTTTGCACTTGGGTTCTTGGATGAAGTGGTTCGTGAAGTTGACTTCATTGGCTGATGTTTTTTGCAGAGGCAGAGAGGAGTGGGAAGAATTTAGAGGCCATGAAATCCCAGTCGGAGTCGTTGAAGAACGAATACGATCGGCTGTTGGGCGAATACGAGAAGCTGGAGAAGAAGTTGGAGACCGTCCGAGGCTCCGGTGATTCGAGCAAGAAGGACGAATAGAGTCATCTCTGCCCTGAAAAGTTGCTACGCCTGTGAACCCTGGATATCTTTACTTTCATCCAGACTGATCAGAACAGTGATGGTGCTAAGAAGCCTTGCCTCCAGCCCTTGCTCTGTCTACGTCTGGGAAACTTGATTTGTCCTCTATGATTCAATATAAAAAAAGAAACAAGAGGCTTCGAAAAGCAGGGAATCTGTTTTTCAAGAATGTATGCCGGGATATTTTATTTCCCTCGAGTTCTTTTCGTCTGATGAAAGTGATGTTCTATATGATGAGAATGTTGTGATCTCCCTTTAAATGTGTCATTTCAGATGCACCCCAACCTTTAGTCATCTCCTACTTCCATTGTTTTTGTTCTCAAAGGTTCATGTTGGTTCTAAAAATATAATCCTGTTGTATGTGTAACACCTTGTTTCCAAGATTGTTCAGCTTTTGTATTTTTGCCATGTGTCGGGTTTTCATACCATTTACCCCTAGGATTAGATCATCTTTTTCGTTAGTCCTCTTTCTATCTGGATTGGAGTTGCATAAATTGACAAATAAACAAGGGATTTCAGTGATTCACATTCTTATTTGACTTCTTTTATTATACCCTCATGGAAGTCCTGCACTTGACTGACCAGGCAAGTGGACTGAAGGTACGGATCAGTCTCTCACAGTCATGGAACAATCAATTTTGTAATTCCCAATAGTGCAATTGGAATTTTCTAAATTAATTTTCTTTGAAGCTGTTGTCTCAGTCAAGGTGTATGTTAGCAATGGTCAATCTGCATGGAAATCCCAGCTTGAGTGAAAAGGGTCTTCTTGAAGGGATTTTTTGGCACATGAGATCTGCAAAAATAATTAGTGGTATTTCGCAGGACCGAAAGATTTGTAGCATCTGGGAGAGCAACACCCTAGTTTACGTGACTAAAGACTCCGACTTTCGTCGAAGTTGATCAGATCTGCGACCTAACTTCATTAACGTGAAGGGTGGGACATCGGAACGAAGTGAAATCCTTAGAGCAGCAAGGATTTCTTGTGCCACGGAATAATCTGACAAATCCCCTCCCCTTTTATAAGGGCTGGAACAGAAGAGTTATGGCGAGGATCCACCAGCCAGCATGACGTTGAATCTCAGAGACGTTTCTGTCCCGCGTAGATGAGCACGTGCGATGAACGATGAAAACTTTCCCCTTGCCGTCTCGGTTGCTGCCCTGGGGACGTTCCTCATCACGGTGGCCTTCTGCCTCCTCTTCTTCGCCTTCTACCTCTGGCTCCAAGAGAAGAAGAAGAAGAAAAAGAAGCAGCAGCCAACGCATCACCTGCGATGGCGCGGGCAAGACTTCACCTGGTCCTCCTGGGATTCCCTCCCCCCGGTCGAAGCGAAACCGATCGACCGGTCCGAGAAGAGCATATCCATGCAATGCGTCCCGCCCTCCACCCTCACGCCCCCTTCGTCCTCCTCGTCCCTTTCGGTCCTGGGCGGATCGGCCGAATTCGACGACTCGGGGTACCTCGCGCCCCAGAACACCCCGGAGACGGGGAGTCGCGCCGGGAGCACCGCCGAAAGCGAGCCCAAGAATTTCGAGCGGATTTTCGTCTACGTGGATCCTCGGGGGCGGCGCAGGGTCACGCTCATCCCGAGATATCAGCTGGTCGAGCATCTTGTGATACGGAAACCTCGTCATTGTGAAGAATGGGTCTGAGTATTGTGATTTTTTCTTTGCTCAAGAATTTTTACATATTTTTGTTATTTGAGAAATATATTTTTTGGGAGCAGAAGCGGTCTTATCTGTCAGGTCGGTCGTTGATTGAAGATGTTAACATTTGATTGGTGTTGCCGCTGCATATTCTGTGTGAATGGTAATTGATATTGGCATTGGTAATTGATAATTGGCTACTAATAATTGATATACTGGGGTGCATTCATTACGGCAGGAAATAATCCTACTGCTTTACAGACAACCGGAGTAAGTGCCCCAAATTGTTGGTACAGACTTCCTATATTCCAGAAATTATATTTACATTGTTTTTTTTTTTAAATCGAAAATATAGACCATAGGATAGTAACTACTCGGTAAGAATGACCTGACTGTGACCGCTCTCCATGCACTTCGCGGTAGCGTGTACGTCGGATGTCCGAAGTCCGAGAGGTTTCTCGTGGAGAAAAATGCGGTCACCATAACTATTACCTCCACTATATTTGTCGATAAAATTTATTGCAGAATTTGGAAAGCAAATGGCACTCGGTACTAGAGTATTTCAAAAAGTTTCCGGCCCGAGGAATTCCCAGTTGTAATTTCTTACGAGAAGACAGATGCCTTTGACGGTAACTAGGAACTTTTCATCGCATTTGTCGGTGAACTGCTTCCGGGAATTTTTTTTTTTTGCAATTTCAAAGTGTCTCCTGAAGGGTTATTAAAATCAAGAGAAATCACGTGACGGCTTTTCTAACCTTAAATGAATCGAACTCTCCGCCGCATCGAAAAAAAAATGAATATCAGTTTTCCATCGTCAAGGAACGAGTCGAAATTTTACCAGTCCCAAACTTCATTTTACCGAAAAGGGGGAAAAAAAAATAAAAATGCGTTTTGGCAGATCTTTTCTTGCCAAACTCGGAACTCGTCGCCCCGTATCAGCAAAAAAGGCTAATTTTTTTTTCCAATTTAGTTCATTCTTTTTCCATCCGAAAGTGACAAGTGAAAGTGAAAGTGACTCTCGTTTTCGCGTGATCCTAGAGCGCTGCTAAAGGTTTGCTGTCGATAGCATTTTGGGTGCGAATCCAGAATTCTCAGCAGCTGCCAGAAAATGTGAGGGAATGAGTGTCATACTGCCTGAAGTATTTGGAAATATTAATATCTGAACAATTACACGGAATTTCAGCTGTTCAGTCTGAAAGCCCTTTACTTGATTAGGAAGAGCATGAGTATTTAAAAAGAAGGAATCGTTGTTCAGACATTCAGTAAGTTCCAGCTTTGGTAGTTTTTTTTTTTAGGTAAGTAGTAAGTTTGGTAAGTTAGCAGGTTAATAGGTAGTTTACTTATTGGTTATTTATTTTTGCTCACTTTTCCCTCTCGAGATGATCTTCGACCTCATGCAATCCTTACAAGTGAAATATTTCTCAATGTTGATTCACTTTCCAGCCTGAATCGAGGGCATCATACGACAATTCGAGTGAAGTCTAAAACGGAAGAAAATCCTAAAAGTGCCCGAAAATTGCGTTTATATATTTTTTTTTCTCTCCGGTCCATACGACTGTGCCAAAGTGCCAAAATGAAAGATGCTGTCGTCTTCATCTCCTGCAGATGGCAAGTTTAATTGTCCCCGCTGATTTTCGGAGTCCAGAAAGGAAATGCCGAAAAAAAAAACTTGAGGTTAGTAGAAAATCTCTTCGCCCCTTTTCTGAATGTGTAATTTCCATCACTTCTTGATTTCGTTGTCAGTTGAGCAAAAACTAACATGTTCAGTTCATAAGATTTTAAAATTTATTCTGTTCATCTTTCATGTTCGTTGGCGATTCTCGCCAGAAATAAATTATTTTTTTTTTTAGTTTTTTTTTCGGAAATCATGGCAGCTCACCACAGGAAATATCTGATGAATCCCATCAGAACTTACTTCAGTCTGTTGCCAGATATGTGCAGTATGTTATCATGTGGATATGCCGCCAAAGCCAGCGAAATCCTAAGCATTTCTTGACTGATGGGCCATCAACCAAGAAATCCTAAGCATTTGCTGACTGATGGGCCATCAGCCAAGAAATCCTAAGCATTTCTTGACTGATGGGCCATCAGCCATCCCATGGGACGATGAGTTGTGTGTCCCATTTTCATCGGGGATGAGAAGTTTTAGGGAGCGGCTTTTGTTTGGATGAGGGAAAAACTATTCAGGTTTTCAATGAACGGATTGAGACGAAACATGGAAATAACAGGTGAATATTTTTTTTTTACCTTAGAGGAAATTAAAATGGGCCACAAGAAAAGAATGGGTAAAGTCCATCGGCTGAAACTTTTCACACCTGATAAATGATCATTTTTATTATAATTCCATTTGATAAATAAGTTTAAAGGGCTGCAAAGGAAACTTGGAACTGATAGAACTAAAATGAAACGAAACTTATGAAGATGAACTCTTAAGTGGATTAAGTTGGAGTTAGTGGTCGAGTAAGAGAAACAGTGAAACATGTCGCCCTATTTTGGTATCTTAAGCATTTGTTGACTGATGGCTGCAGTAGCCATCAGTCAGCAAATGCTTAGGATTTCGCTGGCTTTGGCGGCATATCCACATGGCAACATACTGCACATATCTGACAACTGACTGAAGTAAGTTATGATGGGATTCATCAGAAGTTTTCGCTGAGCTGATCCGTGTTTGGAGAAAGTGTCTGAACATGCAAGGATAAAATTATAATTTAAAAAATATGTATAATACTAAAAGCACGCGATCGTCCAAAAACCTCTCAGANATCTTGTGATACGGAAACCTCGTCATTGTGAAGAATGGGTCTGAGTATTGTGATTTTTTCTTTGCTCAAGAATTTTTACATATTTTTGTTATTTGAGAAATATATTTTTTGGGAGCAGAAGCGGTCTTATCTGTCAGGTCGGTCGTTGATTGAAGATGTTAACATTTGATTGGTGTTGCCGCTGCATATTCTGTGTGAATGGTAATTGATATTGGCATTGGTAATTGATATTTGGCTACTAATAATTGATTTCCTGGGGTGCATTCATTACGGCAGGAAATAATCTTACTGCTTTACAGACAACCGGAGTAAATGCCCCAAATTGTTGGTACAGACTTCCTATATTCCAGAAATTATATTTACATTGTTTTTTTTTTTTTTTTTTAAATCGAAAATATAGACCATAGGATAGTAACTACTCGGTAAGAATGACCTGACTGTGACCGCTCTCCATGCACTTCGCGGTAGCGTGTACGTCGGATGTCCGATGTCCGAGAAGTTTCTCGTGGAGAAAAATGCGGTCGCCATAACTATTACCTCCACTATATTTGTCGATAAAATTTATTGCAGAATTTGGAAAGCAAATGGCACTCGGTACTAGAGTATTTCAAAAAGTTTCCGGCCCGAGGAATTCCCAGCTGTAATTTCTTACGAGAAGACAGATGTCTTTGACGGTAACTAGGAACTTTTCATCGCATTTGTCGGTGAACTGCTTCCGGGAATTTTTTTTTTTTTCATTTTCAAAGTGTCTCCTGAAGGGTTATTAAAAGCAAGAGAAATCACGTGACGGCTTTTCTAACCTTAAATGAATCAAACTCTCCGCCGCATCGAAAAAAAAATGAATATCAGTTTTCCATCCTCAAGGAACGAGTCGAAATTTTACCAGTCCCAAACTTCCTCATTTTACCGAAAAGGGGAAAAAAATAAAAATGCGTTTTGGCAGATCTTTTCTTGCCAAACTCGGAACTCGTCGCCCCGTAGTTTTTTTTTTAGGTAAGTAGTAAGTTTGGTAAGTTAGCAGGTTAATAGGTAGTTTACTTATTGGTTATTTATTTTTGCTCACTTTTCCCTTTCGAGATGATCTTCGACCTTATGCAATCCTTAAAA